TGTGTGTGTGTGTGTGTGTGTGTGTGTGTGTGTGTGTGTGTGTGTGTGTATTGTGGCTTTACACTAAAATTTAGCTGTTGAACATGGATTATTCACATATTCCCTGTCACTGGACTATTCTCAGGGAACCTAAGAAATAAACAATAAGGATACTCCCTAGGTAGCCATGATTCTGAGACAGAGAAAACTGAAAAGAACTGAAGGATGTAATTGTGCATGGCTGGGGACAGTGTGGGGCCGTCAGCTTGAGCAGAAAAAAAAAAAAACACATCACCAGTTGAAAATAATTAAACAGAAATGCACTAATCCAGTCCAGCAACTGCAAATGAACAAAGAATTGTGCTGGTTCTACTGTACCTTTGTAGACATGGGCTTCTTGAAAGTGATTTCTGCTTGCATCCAAACACCTCGTGGGGACTCCAGCACAGACCAGATCTTCTCTTGAACCACGTGGTTCTCTTCAAAGATATAAACGGCTAGGGTGTCACTCATTTTGAAAAACCCATAGATGGCATAATAAAAACGTAGACAGTACTGCAAGTTTCCTGGTAGGGAGGGACCATAGAGCCTTCCAATGTAGCCAGGCTGAGAAGTATACTTTGTGTTGGCCAGCAGGTAATACCCTGCAAACAGGACAAAGCATTCAGTGTATCAGCGATAAAAAGTTTAAATAATCTACCTAGGTTATCAAGTGAAAAAAATTTGGTTAAAACAGTAGAATTTGTCAAAGGACTATTTCCATAGGCTAGATTTTTGTACTATCTGTGGCTTCATAATAGAATATACTTATGTGACTATATTGCCAACAACCTCCAATTCTAAGTAAACTTTATGAACAAGTATAGATTTCCAACTGCATTGGCCCAGATTCTGGTCATCAATTAGAATTTATACTTTTCATTACCATGGGTCAACTAGCTGACTTTGGCTGAATACCCAATACTGAGTCACAGTGGATATAAAGCTCAGAGCAGGTTTTTCTTGATCTATGTAGTGACCAGTGGAGATGGAGAGATTATAGGCTGGCCTGGCAGTCCAAGGGGTGGAAGGGTTGTGTGTCTGGGCAGAGCTTAGTACACTCTTGGTCGTATGTTAAACCTGCCCGTGAAGAGCAGGTTTTTAATCACATGAACCAGGTGCTGAATATCTAAGATTCTTCCTTTATTTTTTTCTAAATAACATAAATAAAAATAAAATCAAGAACCTCACCTCCCACCTGCTCCATCACCCCTGTGGTAAGCTTAAAACAGATCTATGTATCTTAGAAAGCCTGGGCAGAAAAGAAAAAAAATGATACAGTAAGTCCTCATATAAAGTCATCAACAAATTCTGTGACTTCGTATAACAAAACCAATTCTACTATCAGCTAATTGATATAAACAAGAGTTAAGTTCCTATGACATTTCATCAACATTATAATGAAACATCATTGAAAAAAAGGACGTTATTTGAGAACCTACTGTATCCTACATTTTTTCTTTTCCTTTTCTGCTCTTCCCCCATCAATTTTCTTCTGGGTGCCTCAATTTTTGCTATATAGTTTAATTTCACCCAATTATTTAACTCATCTGGCAAAAAGTTCTTTTCTTATTTCACATGAGTGATATTTAATTGTGGACAACCCACCCCCGCCCCCACCCACGCATATGTTGAAGTCCTAACTCTCAATATGACTGTGTATTTGGAGTTAGGGCCTTTTAAGGAGGTAATTAAGGTTAAATGAGGTTATAAGGGTGGGGCCTTAATTCTATAGGGTTGGTGTCTTTATAAGAAGAGGAAGAGACGCAAAAGATCTTTCTCTCCACGTGTACACACATACACAGAGGAGAGTTCATGTGAGGTCACACTGAGAAGTCTCCCTCTATATACAGGGAGAGAGGTCTCGCAAGAAACCAACCCTATGGCACCTTGATCTTGGATGTCCCAGCTACCAGAACTGCAAGAAAATTAATTTCTATTGCTCAAGTCACCCAGGCTGTGGTATTTTGTTGTGGCAGCCTGAACAGATTAATATAAGTGGCCACTCAATAGCCAGAACAATTTTTTTGAAACCTAAATTTAATCCCTTTCTTCTCTACTTAAAAACTTTCAATGTCTCTCATTTCCTTGATAATAAAATCCCAAATGCTTACTCTGGTCTGCTCCACCCGTGACCTATCTTCCTCTCCAACTTCATTTTCCTCCATTCCCCACCCCATGGTGCAGCCACACTAGCTTTCCAGTTTCTTGGAGTGTCCAGCTCTTTTCAGACTTGAGGACTTCACAGACACTGTTCCCTCTGCCCAGATGGTCCCCGCGCTCCCAGCTAATACCCACTTCCCTCAGAAGGCGATTCTCTGAACCCCCAACCAACATTAGTTTCTTTCCTCTATTCTCTCTCAGAACTCACTCTTCATTTCTCTTACAGCATTTACCACAACTTGCAACTATGAGTTTATCTGTGTATACATTTGTCTAATATTTCTCTTGTCCATTGAAATGATTGTCTGCCAGAGAGGACAGGCTTTGTTCACTATTGTATCTCCCTGGAGTTAGTCTGGCCAAGGTCAGAATAGGGTATTGTAGGGCCTGTATGTCTACAAGATAGGCAACTTCTAAGAAAAGAGTACAAAATTATAGGTATAATATTACAAAGGCCCCTTTCAAGGCTTTTCCCAGGGCCTGTGCAAGGGAAGGGCCCTGAAATCTAAGCTTCGTCAGCTTTCTGTTAACTTCACCCTGGTGCCCAATGTACACTTAATTGTTGAATACATAAATGAGACACTAACCTCTTGAGAACCAGCTCTTTCCACCAGTTTCTACCGGAGTGAGCTTCACAAGGGAGGCCATTAAAGTGCTAGGTAATCCTCATACAGGGAGCTCAAACTGGTTTCTAAGAGTTCCTTGTAGATATACCCATCGAGTGCCACCCAACATTTCCAATAGCATTTATTCTCCCATAATATATTTTTGATTGTAGTAAAATACACATAGCATAAAGTTATCATTTTAACCATTTTCAAGTGTACAATTCAGCACCATCTAATACATTTACTATGCTGTCACCACCACTATCTAGTTCTAGAACATTTTCATAACCCCAAAAAGAAATTCAATACCCATTAAACAGTCACTCCCCATTTCCCCTTCCCCAGGCCCTGGCAACCACTCATCTTTCTGTCTCTATGGATGTGCCTGTTCTGGACATTTCATAACATTGGATTCTAATAGTTCTATTTTAAAGGTACTTCATGTAAAGTGAAGAGCAAGATAATTTCCAAAGGTTTGGCTAATTAATTGGCAAATACTTTTGCTAGCCCAGCAACGTGAATTCCAGTTTTAAAAATGGTCAAACACAAGATTACCAATTGTCTTTGCTTCTTTACAGCTGCCTTTTTTTTTTTTTTTTAANGAAGAGTCCTTTCCCTAAGAGTAACAGGAAGCTTGAGGGTTTCTGCAGGGGAGGGCTTCCTCAGGAGAACTCTGCTGCCCAGGGAGCACAGACCCAGGGGGGCAAGAGTGAATTGCAAGTGGGCTTCACTTTTCAATTTCAATTTCTGAATCAACTTATAGACCAATGGTTCTCATCCAAGGATGATATGGCATTTCTGGGTATTGAGAAATGTGTGGAAATAATTTGGGTTTTTTAAGTAACTGTGGATGTTAAAAACCCAATAATGTGAAGTATGGCCCCCACAAAGGTAGAACTGTCCTCTTTTTAAATGCCAAGGGGACTCCCACTGGGAAATCCAGCCATCCGCAAAGCCAGATGGCTTCATGGGAGGAATGTAAATGGTATAAGCCATGACAATGCAAAAGCAATTGTATAGCTGAGAGATTTTGAGAAGTGGAGAGAGCCAAACAGGTGAAGGAAAATGTAGGGATAAAAATGTATTCATCTTACATAGTGGGATGTTAAGAGACATGATATAAAGTGTATGGGTCCAAAACTAAATAATTAAGTGGATTAAAGTTACCAAGGGAATTGAGAGAAAAGTAAAAAATAAAAATATAATTAAAAATTGTGAGGAGCAGAGCGAAAAGGCAAAGAAATGATATAAATAAGCTAAATTCCTTATCTTTCATAGCAGAGAATCAGCAAATACTGTTAAGGTTAATGAATCAAGAAATGGAGGTGGAAACACAATGTTTAGAATTATAGAGGAGACCATCAGAAAATCAGGGAGAAAACCATCACAAAAAGAAGTGAAATTGGAATTTGAGTTCAGGGGTAGGGAGTGGTAAGGGAAACTCTGACTTTTCATTTTATTCCTTTTCTGAAATATTTGTATGTTATTTTTTCCTGTATATGTTACATAAGTCAGTAAACTTTAGTGTTGCCTCTATGGTTGATGTCAAATGCTTTCTCACTTTCTGAGGAGCTGGTTTCCTTCGGCAGGGACCCGCCAAAACTATGGGCCACCTTCAGACAAGTGTCCAGAGTTTTGTAGTGTTGAACTGCACTATCTCTTCAGAGGCTTTGGGGCCAAATCTATAACTAGTTCCTTCTGAGGCTATAAGAACTTCCCTGCCCTCACGGGGTCTCCATCCATTTTCCTTTAAGTGGTTGGGGAGGAAGTGTGCAGTTTCTGGGAAGGTTGGAGGTCAGCCAAAAAAGTAACCAGCAAATTCTCTGGGGCACCCTTATTTGCTGGGGGGGCTCACTTCCGTTCCATGAAAGTCAGGTATGAGCAGGGACTCACTCTAAAGAAGTGGGCAGACTCCTAAACAACCCGTGTGTCTGTGAGTAGAGGATATGGGGGTACAGGGTGGAGTGGAGTGGGTGGGGGCAGGAGTTAGAATCCAGCATGGTCTGAACCTTAACCCTCCAAACACCAGCTCGGTGGAGCCTCTATTTGTCACTGTTTTTTATATGTCCAACTGGTAGAACCAATCCTCCATTTTTCTATAAAGCCCTCCTGTGAGGAAATGAGATGGTACGTTGTTAGTTTCTCATTCATATATGTATCTGTATCTGAATTTTCTGTCATCTGTGATCTCCTTGAGAGTAGGATCTGAGCCTCATTCATCTTTATATCCCCTGCCCTGAGCATATACCTAATAAATGCTGTTTGAATAAAGAAATAAATAAGCAAATGGATGAACGAATAAATAAATGAAAGTCAAATGAATAAATGAAATACTTACTATACCCCCCCTTTTAAAAACATTAGCAAAACAGGGTATGGAATACAACAAAAATTCCATTAATTTCTGGTGTATCACTGATNTATAACCCAAAGGCAGAAACATTTAATCTTCCTTCTTCCTTTGATGGATTTATGTTATTCTTCCTTGCCATCAACACATAGTCATCGACAGTTCAGTTCTCTTTCTTTAATTATTTATCGAATAACCACTCTGTTCCAGGAATTGTGTTCACATTAGTAATAAAAATAAATAAAGAAGACATGAATCTTTGTTCTCCAAAAGCTTACAGTCTGGTTAATGAAGATAGGCAGACAAATAGGCAACTTCGATATAATGCATTAAATGCTATGATAGTAGAATAATGCTACAAGGGGCCACATAAGATGAGGGTTTTGTGTCAAGTTCTTTGAGGGAATTGCCACCTTAAACAAAGTTCTCTAATATAAAGCTTATCAGAGTTTCTAATATGTTACTGTGCATTGTGAGTCTTCAT